TTCTAGGTAACAATAATAAAATATTGTAACCTAATATTATTATGATCTAACCAACAAGGCTAATGAGTAATTTAACTTTAACTTAGTTTTATAAAATAAAATATCTAAGAATGTGTCCAATGGCACTTTTCTTAAAGTCTCTAGTTAAGGCGAAGACACTTTGTTTTTGTGTTCTATATTGGCAGCACTATATTATTATTCCTTTAACTACATTACACTATTTTTTTAACGCTACACTAACTCAAAAGGTTTAGTTCTTTTGAGCCTTCTCACTATGTCTGTGTTGTCGAGGAGGATTGCCTCGATATTCACATGTTTATGAAGTCTTTGCTCGTGAGCTTCTGCATATTTTTTTATCACTTTATCGACAATCTCTACATTGAGGTCCCGATGGAGATCGTCATTTCTAACGTACCAGGGTGCATTAACTATTCCCCTGAGAACTTTATTTTGGAATCGTTGGATAATAAGAACATTACTCTTTTTGATACAACCCCACAGCTGTATACCATAGGCCCACACTGGCATCAGGAATTGTTTATATAATAATATTTTGTTGTGTACGGACAGAGAGGAATGTCTTCCCAACAGCCAATACATCTTTTTGTACCGGAATTTGAATTCTTCTTTTTTCTTCTTAACGTGAGCTTTCCAGCGTAGCCTCGCGTCAAGCGTCATTACTAAATACTTTGCTATATTTCATTTCATGTTATTGTTAATAAATATCGGATGGTAATCTTCTTTTTTGTTGGTGAAGTTTATATGAATCGATTTTGATTCATTTAACTTTATTCTCCATTGTAATGTCCAGTCATGAATTTTATGAACCGCTATTTGAACCTCTTCAGCTGCTTCTGCGTGAGAATTTCCAACCGCCATTATGGCAGTGTCATCAGCAAAGGTCGCGATGGTATTATTTTCTAATTCGGGGATATCACTGGTGTATAAAAGGTGGTATTGGTGGCTATTGGTGGTATTTGAGTAATCGGCTGTTTCATAATTTTAGTGGCCTTCCAGAGTGAGTAATCCGTGCAGCGATTACTTGTTAGGTTTTGGAGATAGGTTTCCGTCGAAGTATCAAGATAATTTTAGATTTGTCTTTTTAACAATTTTGTGAGATTATTCAACTTTTTCTGATCTTGTGGAGATCTGGATTGGTGCCATAGATTTCTTTGTTTTCTCTTTTCAGATATAAGTTGTGCGATCTCTTTAGGATAATTATTTTTTCTCGTAGCCCTTTTCTTAGTTTCGGGTGTGTTTTTCCAAGCTATCTGCTGTATTAATGTGATGAATTTTCCTAAGTCTATGTTTAGCTGTTCCGGAGTTTTAAGTGGTACTCTGAGATCTACATTCATATCTAGTTCTACTTTCCCAATCTGTATATTTGTTAACTAGTGAAATGGCAGGTTCTTTGTATAAGATTTTTCACTTATTTTTAGATATATTGCAGAGTGGTCTGAGTGCTGGGTGAATATAGCTGGACGATAGACCTTTGTATACAAAAAAGTCTATCGTATCAGGTATTTTTGTTGGATCAGTTGGCCAGTAAGTGGGTGACCTTGTTGATGCCACATCACATTTCATTTCTTGTATAGCACCCATAAGTTCTCTCTCTTCCTTTTGTGTTCGTTAATCTGGAGCCCCAATACACATTCTTGGCATTAAAGTCACCTCCTAAATAAATCTATTACCTAATGATCGAAAAAACACATGTAGTGTCTTTTCGTATCGTATATTGCGGTGGACAGTATAAAGATGCTATAGTAAGAGGATACCGCTTTGAGCTGACACAAATTGCAACAGATTGGATTTCAGGCTCTTCATATTTATTTAACTCATAATGTTTGATATTTTCTTGTACAATAATAGCACTGCCACCATTTCCTTTGTTAACCGGATGTAGTGCATGATAAACTTTATATCCTTTAAACTTAATGTGTGATTGTTTCGTAAAATGGGTTTCTGATATGAGACATATATCTATATTTTCTATATCTAGGACTACTTGTAATTCGTTGTAATGATTCTGTAGCCCATTACAATCCATTCCATAATTTTAAGTAAGTATATTAATCATTTTGGCGTCTTGGCATAGCCTTTTTACCGCTATTTTCCATTTTTTTAAGACGCTCATCAAATGACGTCATGAGCTTCAAAGTTTCATCTAGTTTATTATCACTAGATTTGGTGTGCTCTTTGCGTTGAGCAGTTGTAAAGCGTGAAGCAGCAACTTGAGCGTAAGAAATACTTTTGTTTGTGCTAAATAAGAACACGTCCGTTATGTATTGCGTTTATTTTACAACTGTCAGTACTACCTACATACAAAGCATACTAATACTTAACTCTTACTTATATACTATGTAATTACCCTCTTATAATATACAACACCTCCACCCTTAATTAACCCTACATACATACAGGTTATAATAAATAGTTTACACATCAATAAGTTCATTTAATCTATTTACAGATCTATACTTCTCACATTTCACCCCCTTCTTATATTATTATCCTATGTTTAATATATAATTAAAGTTAAGAAATTTAAATATTAAGCTAATATGACAACAACAAAAAACAAGCATACTAATACTTAACTCTTACTTATATACTATGTAATTACCCTCTTATAATATACAACAGTTGGCAATTGGAATAGTTCTAGAGGTAGGATTTTAGTAACATGTCGCATAACTAATGGTTTCTTGGCAGTCTTATTTCTTAGTTTTGAATTTCTTTGGCTATCATGCAGCCTCTATAATTATCTGGATGAGCTTCACCACAGTGCACTCATTTTGGTTTTCTGCACTCTTTCGTTAGGTGTTTGCCTGTGTATTTTACACACCTTGGCTCTTTGGCGAGTACTTTTGTGTATGTCCGTATGCCTGGCACCTCTTACACTGGGGTATAAGTTTTGCGGATCTAAGGGATTGTATCTCAACCATGCACCCGAGTATCAATTTAATATCGTATATTTTGCTTATATCTTTGTCGTTGTTAAAGGTAAGCATGAACATATTAAATGGCTCCTTGTTTTTCCAGCTTAATTTATTTACTGCATCCAGTATTTTGTAACCCTTAGTTTTTAGGTCCTCCATGATCTTTCCCGGATTGCAGGTGGAAGGTAATTTTTTAGCCATCACTCTTATTGGCCTTTCTTGTTTATTTTCGAAAGAATGCCAGAGACAGTTGTTATCAATGTTTTCGTAATTTCTCTATACGCTTCGTCATTACAGGCAGTAAACGCCTTTACGTTGACGCTGTTACCATTCAACATTTTTATCATGAAGGTTCCAGATGTTTTATTTTGTGTTAAAAAATCATAAAAATTTTTGTAGTTTTCCACGCCATCCACTATATAGGAGGTGGTGGAGGAACTTTTTTCTTTTTTTCTTTTTTCGTTGTTTCTTCCTTATTTTGAGGTGAGAGTGTGGGTGACGTGTGCAACTTTCTTTTTTTCTTTACCTTTGTTCTGATCCACTCTGTTTCTTTAGCGAGTTCTTCCTCATCAGTGCCATATTGTAGTTGTAGTTTTTGGTTCAACAGCGCATTTTAGCTGCTATTTAAGAGTTTCTATTTGATTTTTTAAGTCTTCTACGAGGCTTTGCGGTTTCTCCTGTTCTTCCCGTTCTTGTTTGTATCGTGTATTTATTAAACGATCATACAACATATGTTCCGTGTCAGTTTTTAGCTTTATTGTAATTTGTTTCGATGGCGTATCCATTGTTTAGGCAGGTGATAGCTTCGCCTTAATAATATAAGTCATCGCCAGTAAGCATGCCTTACGCAATGAATAACTGGGTCATTGCACTTCGGCCGTCGCGACGGCTTGTTGTGATGCGTTAGCACTTTGCACTGTTGGTACTCGCGGTCACGCGTAACACAACTGTTCTCAGCGAAAATTGAACGATCACTGAAGTGAGTGAGTGAGTGATCATTCAACTAAAAAGTAAAAAATATTTTTAGTTACATAAGAATAAAGTGATTAACAAGAAAATTAATGCTATTGTCAAAAAAGCGTGGGGTGCTCGATATCAGTTGTAATAAATATTCCATTGGTATATTTCCTAAAAGTAAGCAAGTTAGTAAGTAGTAGTAAGTAAGTTAGCATAAAAATATTATACAAAACAGCCCATGTTTTTTTCACGATAACATTAATTTCCTCATTAATCACTTTTGTGTTACACTAAAAGTTATTTTTTACTTTTTAATTCAGTTTATCATTGAAATTGTTTTATAGTTTTTTAAACCACAATTTATTGTTAAATAGTTATTGTATAAGTAAAACCAAGACCTCGTTAGTTTAGCATTGAATTAAAAAATAAGGTCTGGAACCTTATTAAATATATACATAATAAAAAATATATAATCATTAACATAAGGAACCATTTACCTTCAAACAAAGCATACCTATTTAGAAATATTTTCTGGAGTTCCTAGATAAAATAATGAACTGTACCAATTCTGTGTAAAAATGGTTTGGTTTACAAAAATAAACAAATAAAGTGGCTTATAATGACAAGGATAAAAAATGTTATTATCTTTTATTGATTTTAATCATTGTGAAATTCTGTCAATGAATCTGAGCCATTGGCAGATTTTCATGTACATTATATTATGTATAAATTTCATTATTTGTATTTCATTTGATTATAAACAAACAATAAGAAAGAAGAATACTTTATATATCTTTATTTAGACTGTTTATCTCAATATCTCATATAATCCACAGAACCTGTCTAAGTATTTACCATTGGAGATTGGAGTGAATGACCTAGTTAAATACTTAAACTATGAATACTCAAAACGATTTTTATACTTATTTTATAGATAAAGATCATTTCTGTATAAGTTTTATCTAAGTTTATGCACATAACATAATCTTAAATTCTAGAATGTTGTAGATAAATGAGTGCAAAAATTATGTGTTTTTATCGTTGTCGAGAGCAAAAAATATATTCTTTTTATTATATTTAATATTATTTACAAAAAGTACTCACGTCTAATTCCCTGCGCTATTGACACTGTGAAGTTGTTTAACACTGACATTCTTAAGACTTAATCGTAAATAATAAATATCAAAGTTTTCTTATCACAAGCACTACGTGTGCACGCCTACACAGCTGTGAATGAACTAACTTGAAAGTTGTCAATAACAGAGGCGTGACAATAGATAAAACTATTTATTAACGTATTAAAAATGATTAGTGATAATATAACATATCGAATAATAATAAAAATCTAAATTTCTTCGCACGACCTTGCGAAATTTGATACTATGATAGCGAATTTGTGATAGCGAATAGCGATAGAACTACATAGAACTTTGACTTTGACAGATGCTTTTCGTTCTAAAATACGATTATGGAGTCATGGATCAAGCATCTATTAGATGTGTGATTTCAAAAACCATTTTGATTATGTTATAGCCAAATTATTTTGATTATTTTAAACGTACATTATAGAAATCTATTATTCCAAAATTAAAACGTTTTTCACCTTTATTTCACACTGAGAATTGCCAGGGATAGGTTCTTATTTTAATATTATATTAATTTATATTATCTTTTATTTTAAAATGTTTCTCATCTGAAATATTATAATAATTAACCTTTGAGTTCTCTTTTATATAATATCACTTTCAAATAAGAAATTTGTCTGTGTGTTTAGTGAATTTAACCCAAGAACTGAAGTAACTTGGTAATTTGTCATTTTGAAAATAAAATATTTAATATTATAACCTGTGGGATGTGGAGTACAAATAAAAAACAACAACGCTGGGTACTTATATTTTATTATATTAGTTTTATTATAAAACAGCTAACCAACGATACAAGCAATAAATAACAAATTTAACAACACTTAATTTGACCTCTCAATACAAATTTACAACTGAGGAGCCTTCTGACAGCAACAATTTCATAATAACTTTTGTAAATGACAAATTTTCATCACATTTAAGCCAATCTATTAAAAAGCGTTTCGTGCTTTCTTAATAATTTCCAAAGCAGTATGGTGTTATTTTGGAATATAAAGGAATTATTGTCGTTGTCCATTATATATGAATAAAATTATTGGAATGAGAGTGTAATGTATGCCCAACATAAAATTAAATTATAGATTAATTCCATTACATAGATTTGATATTTTATGAAAAAATGGCGTGGATGCAATACTTAAATGATTAACATTTATTAATGTAAATGAAATTGTTGACATGTTATAACGAAGTCGTCTATTAGAATAAAAATATTTACTTTGAATTCAAAATATCTTTAAATTTATCATTCCATACTTAGGAAAAGTTTTTTTTTATCTGTATGTACCACCTTTAAGGCTTATGCATTAGAAAAAATATGAAAAACGATTGACAATTGGTAAAGTTATCGCGTTTATATCGCATTTAACTGTACCTCCTCTTTTTTGAAGTCAGTTAAAAAAATAATAAGCACAATACGCTTATATTTTCTTTTGTAAACATTGTTAGTAACGTTTTCTATTTATATTTTTAAATTATATTCACAAGTGAATCATAATAAAGGAATGTTTTAGGAAAATATTTAAAATAAATCAAATGCGTGTTTTGAATTTAAAGAAATTGACTAGATTTAGTTTTTGAGTATATAAAAATGTTAATAATATAAAATTGAAAATGTCCAAATTATAAAAGCAATTTAGTGATCAAGCAAAAAAAATGAAACAATTAAACTTTAATAGGAACAAAAAGTCTTTTATAAATAATACATACATACATGCATACATGAAAAATGAACATTTTTACTTTGTTGAATTAAAGGTAGCTAAAGATATGATTACGAGTTTGAAATAAAAAAATTATATATTTAAGAAACATCTTTGATCCTAACCAATTAATCATATTTTTGCTACTTCTAATGGGATAATATAAGAGTTATTTTAGTTTATTAATTTTAACATCGTCATTAAAACCATTTTATAAAGGTGCTTCCACACAGGAGTTAAAAAAAGGAATTCTCGTGTTAAAAAATGTTATGTAATGTTATCTAAAAAAAAATAACTGCTGCGTGGAAGCACCATAACGCCAATGAATATGATCAGTTTTATGAAAGATAAAATATATAATAATAGGTTAGTATATAAGTGCATGTATATAATGACATTTGAGAGCCAGAGAAAAAAAAAATGGATAAATGATCAGAAAATAATAGATAGATGATTCTTAGAAATAGAAAATAATTTATTAATCGAAAGAACAATACTACAATGATATAAAAATATATATTTCAATAGTAGGAGATCCAGATTTATATTGGACCCCTCACTCTTTCCAGGCGAATTTTTTTTTCAATCATGAAACATATTAACAAACACGACCCCCCCCCTGGCTTATTACCAAAAATTTGTTTCAGGCCTTTTTTAATTAATTTTTTTTTTGTTTTTTTTTTTTAAGTACAAGAACTCTTTTTCTGTGACAAATTAGTATCAATCCAAAGTAAGACTTATATAAAATGTCATCATATGGTTGGCGGACTTTTTCGAACACATTACCTGACATACCGGTATAACCAGATGAATTAAAGTAGTTAATTGCTCGTATCGTTTTCGAACAAACCTAGTATCAAATTGTAGATAATTTTATAACAAATTTTAATGATATATTTAGGGTTTTCATACCAAAATTTCACCGAACTAGAGGTTTTTCAGTAAAAAATAACCTGAAGCAAATTTGTGGTGACAACACAGGGGTGTTGTGTTTCTTAATATCTTTCATGGTTTAAAAAATATATTTCATCTGGAAAAAGAATAAGGGGCCCACCACATAGATCGGGATATTAGACTAAAAGTTTTAGTTGTCTATGGTAAGAAATAGTAATAGCTGTCAAATGTCATCTTTACGTCAAAAAAACTTAAGATTAAGTAGCGGGCCTGAAGAGCTATTGTGAAATGTTTACACTTTAATCTAGAGCTACGAAGATTCAAAATAACTTAGACTACTTAATAAATTATTATATAGCCTAAGAAACGCAACGTCATGGTGAAAATTAATAAAACTATAAGATTTTTTTTTAATTTTTCAACCAGTTACAGATAGCAAAGAAAATTGCGAGTAATTTCATTATTCATCATGTTTGAAAAAAAGTAAATAATTCTTTTCTAATTAACATGACTTAATATTAACAAAAATTGCTCACATTTACGATGCTTTGTATATGTTGGGGCTGTGGTTAAATTTAATATTTAATGAAATCAAACATCGTTGAGTTGCTGCGTTTCATACATACAATATACGTAAATTATAATATAATAAATAGTTAATAAAACAAACCTCATGGGAATTCCGAACTCCTAAACCTTTCAAACACCTTCCCTCCATGAAAAACAACCCTTTTCACACTTAAAATATGAATACAGGTAGATATTTTTTTTTATATATTTAGGCCGGCTGCATTTTATAAGATTTTTTCTGTCAGAAAATTTCTGACGCCCGTCGGAAGGCACTCTACTCATATGTTTTGGTCTAGACTCCGCGGATTATCAGAATTCTGACGTGTCTGATGTCCGCTTCTGATGAGTCGCGGATGCTGTCGATTGGACGTCAGAATTTTTCTGATCAGAACGTCAGGAGGGCGCGCTCTCTATACATTTTGTACTAGATTCCGCACACTTATCACAAATTCGCATCTGTTGTCGAACGGACTCCGCGAACTAAACTCATTGTCAGACTCGCTGGAGCGAGTTTCTGATAGATGTACGGGGTGGTAGCGGCGGGCGTCAGAAATTTTCTGACAGAAAAAATCTTATAATATGCTGCCGGCCTTAATTTGATATATTTTGACATTATAAAGAATAACTGCTGAGATAAATTAGTATGTCATGTCGGTACTGGAGCGTTAACATATTCAAAAACTATGATACATAATAAAAAAAAACAATTGGCAACTTTTATATAATATTGTTATAAACATTCGAAAAAACAAAGAAAAATTATTATTATTACAACCAATTCTTCAAATTTATATTTTATAAACCATGCATATTTTGTTTAATAAATTTATATGCCAACCATACTTACGAGCAGGGCAGCTTAAAAATCGAATGGGTTACCAAGCCCTGCTTACAATTGACAATCGAAAAGAATATTTTCTTGTATAAATCCAAATTTTTACTGAGTTTAATAAATTATTCATCTATAAATAAAGAAATTTATATTTGTATTGAAAATCTTTTAAATTGCATCGCTTATTTTATATAAAATATGAACACCATATTTAAAGCGAGCATTCTAAGCATTTTATTGTAAAATTACAAGTTTTTTAAAATTAAAACCTTATCAATAAACGTAGTATCAACTGACAAGTCAATAATAAAACACATGAATGCTAGATTATGACCGTACAATAACCACGTTTAATAATAAGGCAGTTGTGTATTTCAACATATATTCTTATTTTTTTATTAATCGACTTTAATTTTTACTTGTCGTGATTTTTAGTAAATTATATTTATTATTTTATTTTTTAAATAATTAACAATTCAACAAATCGCTCAGTCTTCTTTTTTCTCGTGTTCGGATTTCGTTTCCACCTCCATTGGGGAGGGGGGACGATCCGGTTCGCCATCTGAAATTAAAACTATATCTATATAGCTTGTGCAAATAAAGAATGGAATTAAAAATGGCCTCCCTCATATCACTACATAGTATAAAACAAAGTCGCTTCCCGCTGTCTGTCTGTCCCTATGTATGCTTAGATCTTTAGAACTACGCAACGGATTTTGATTCGGTTTTTTTTAATAGATAGAGTGATTTAAGAGGAAGGTTTATATGTATAATAGATGCATATTATAGTACAGAAAAGCTAGGAAATACAAAGATTTGTATTTCATACTAACCGTTAAACCGTTAGGAACGAACCCATACATAATAAAACTCTAACTTAGTCGAATCTGTACATTGAATTTTTTTTAGGAAAATCTTATTGAAATAGTCATTCTTATGGATACAGAGTCCGAATCTATAGTTTTTAGAATTTTTGTCTGTCTGTCTGGAAAAGCATCACAAGAAAACCACCAGAAGGATTTTGATAAAATTTGGTATGATGAAGTTATCCGGGTCAACATATAGGATACTTTATATTTGTATTGACTACGGGAAAATATCTCATCTCTGAGAAATCTATAGTAAACGTTAAAACGTATATTTCGCTGTTAAAACTGTCCGCGACTGTACTTACACCCGGTGGTATCAACCGCAAACAAGGCTTCACCCGCGTTCAGATGACCTAAAACCAAGGGAGGTTTTACATATTAGTATACTCTTACATTGCACTTTTTGTATTTTTTCTCAGCAATGAGACATTTTCCCGCGGTAAAAAGTATCCTATATATTGACCCGGATAATCATCTATCATCATACCAAATTTCATCAAAATCCCTCCAGTGGTTTTTCTGTGATGCGGTAAAAGAGAGACAAAAATGGTAAAAACCATAGGTTCGGCCTCTGTATCGATAATAATGTTTATTTTAATAAGATTTTCCAAAAAATATCTAATGTACAGATTCGGCTTAGTTACAATTTTATTATATGTATAGATTTTATTACTCGCAGACTAAAGAAGTATATAGACGGAACCCGCCAAAATAAATTTGAAAGTCAAAAATAGTAGCGTGATTTGCTGTTTATGCTACTATTCTCGAGTGTACCGCACAGATCGTTTAGTTTCTTTAAGGGTGGGAAAGTATGTCACAAAGGTAACAATAATATTAAGAAAACCAACTTTTAATATAACTAAGAAAATTAAAAATAAATGATTTATTTATTTATTTCTATATGCTAAAATAACGTGTTTCTGACTAAACGTTTAGACAAATAAATCACACGCAAAGCTATATGAGTCACGTATGTACGTCATACTTATAAAAAAAGTAATATAATCGATTGTTCGACGACACATTTGGCTCGGTTTGTAGTGACCCAACTTTCTGTGCTAGGGGTTGCGGGTTCGAGTCCCGCTGGGGGCATTCATTTGTGTTATGAGCACGAATGTTTGTACTCCAGTCATTGGTGTTTTGTATTTATAATATGTATGTATTTAAAGTTATATACGTGTAGTGTATCAACTATCTGGTATCCATAACACAAGCCTCGTAGCTTACCATGGAACTAGATAGTGATGTGTGTTAATGTCCTGACAGAGGGGGATCAGACCATAGTCCACCACGCCGGCCAAGTGCGGGCGGACTTTACATGTATTTCGAATACTTGCTAGGTTCTCTCAGAGATGCAGGTTTCCTCACGATGTTTTCTTTCACCTTAAGGCAAGTGGTGATCATGTTAGAAATGATTCGCACATGAAAATATCAGAGGTGCGAGACCCGGGATTTGAACCCGCTTCACTCGCGTTATCACCGCCCATGTTTTAATAAATAAATAAATAAATAATAAATAAATAAATAAATAAATAATAAATATACATAAAATAAAACAAAAATAACAACTCACCATCTGTATTAGTAGTAATGTTATCATCTTCGCTGTCACTTTCAGAACTGGCTTTGGAAGACTCATCTCCGCTAACTATGAAGCAAAAACAATATTTATAAAAAAAAATGGGTGCGTGCAACTTTTACACGCGGTCGAAGTAAAACTTCTTTGGCAAATATCGAAATTAAATTAAAACAAATCAATAATAATATATTTATAGAATATCATATACGAAAAGAATATAATATTATATATTTGTGAGACAATACCAACGGTCATCATGGCAAAGTGGCAATGTACCATAATATGTATTCTATCTCATTCTCTCGCCGGATTAATACTATATATTTCGTTTCATCGAGTTTCGAATTACAACGATTCTAAAGAAGTTTCACTTCAAAATAAAAATACGTATGCAGACTCTAGGTTCGAATCCGGCGATGGTCCAAGTTATATAGGGTTTTTTAGTCAAGCCTAGGCAAAGAACTGCGTCTTATCTCGTGTCTCGTGTCGTCCCACCGGAGTATCAGAGTGACAGGAATAGAGAGCCTGTGTATACGCATACACTACACTATATCACCATTTGCCCAGCTCTAGCAACAACTAAAAGTCATTCATACATCATATAGAAGTCCATAAAATGACTTCTACACACAATCTACTAGGATTAGTATATACTGATCCTAGTAGATTGTGTTATTTGTAGCTGCATGTCTGTATGTACATCTATACACATAAATAAAATTGAAATGCCTGTTTGTAATGTCAAAATAATAGCTTTAGCTATTAACTGAATGCATATGGAATTATAAATTGTCTGTCTGTCTGTTTGTTCCGGCTAATCTCCGAAACGGCGGATATATATATATATATATATATATATATATATATATATATATATATATAATTGTATGTGTGTTTGTCACTCACCATCCTTGATGAGGGGTGGGGGGAGAGCACGTGTCTCTAGCAAGGGGGCGATAGGGCGCTTCTTCCTTGCGGCATTCAGACGGCCGCAGTACGCGCACACGTATGAAACGTACTCGAACTCTTCTGCCATCGCCATACCTGAATATAATATTAAATAAATAATCCATATCTATCAGAGGTTAGTAGAAGGATGTTTGCTGCAATAAGTTGTTTGAGACGATGGAAAAATCTGTTGCCTATTAAAACTAAAACTGCACTAGCTCACTCACTACTGCTACCAATTTTGGATTATGCTGATTGCTGCTACCTCGATGCTTCAGAGGAACAGCTTAACAAGCTCGAACGCTTGCAGAATATGTGCATCAGATTTATATTTGGTTTACGTAAATTCGACCACATCTCCGAATACCATAAGCAATTAAAGTGGCTTCCGATTAGATTTAGATGCAGCTTGCACGTCCTTTCCATCCTTTTCTCCATCCTTTATAACCCAACTACTCCCTCTTACTTAAAAGAACGGTTTAATTTTCTAGGTTCGGACGTCTCTGGTTTGCAGCTTAGGTCTCAGAGCGACAACCGTTTGAAATTACCATCTTGCACCACCAATTACTATGGTAATTCTTTTACCGTAAAAGCTGCAAAGCTATGGAATATGCTCCCCCATGATGTTCGCTATTCAAAGTCACTAAATATTTTTAAACGTCGTCTAACTAATTATTATCTGTCTTGTTAGTTTTTGAGTATATATGTATATACTATGTATTCATATGTATGTATGTATGTATTTATGTATCTGTATACGTATATATTATATATGTATGTATATATTTTTGTCTTATGTATGTATTCATGTTCGTAAACGTAGTTCATCATGTCTGTATTTAGTGTTAATTGTACCGTCCCGTCTTCGATTCTTGTAATCCTTTCGCCAAAGGTTGTCTGTAAGAGATTGCTCGTAGCAAAAAGACCGCCTTTGCATGCCTCTTTGTTATTTATTTTTTTATTCTTATCTTCTGTACTCTTCTTTTGTGTGTGCAATAAAGAATTTATCTATCTATCTATCTATTAATACGTGAAGAGAAAACTTTGAACCCCTTTTTAAGCATATAGCATGTATGGAGGAGTATGAGCTTTGGTATAGTTAGTTATTTATACACAGAAGGACTACAGAAAGCAAAAATTGACTTTTTTTAACGGCGAATCTGCTCGCGCCTTTTTTTATATATATGTATTTACTTCACTGGTAAAAAATGTAACGTGATGTTAGAAAACATTCATCATTATTATACGAGTACTTGCATAATTTAAAGATGAAAAGTTTGTTTCTCTGTACGTGAAAATCTCTGAATCTATGGGCCCGTTTCAAAATTCGTTTGGATTTTATAGGCTATCTATATAACGTTGAAAAAAAGAACCTCAAAATCGATCAAACTTAATAATTTATCGTTGATTTTCAACCACGGGGCGATCACTAAATAATAATAAATATGTTGGGACATCAACACACAGCACCATCTAGTTTCATGGTATGCTACGAGGCTTGTGTTATGGATACCAGATAGTTGATACACTACACATATATAACTTTAAATACATACATACATACAGTATACATATTATAAATAAATATCAATCGAACATCAAACACTAATTGAACTTTTACATTCCTTCTTAGATTTACGCGACTCTTGGATTTATTTAAACTTTTAATTGCCGAATTTTCTCAATCTCCCCCGTGACCATCATCGCTTTATACCATTCGAAACGTCTCAAACCAAAAAATCAAAATAAATCCGCAGAGAAAAATCCGAAAAGATAGTTTCAGATAAAAATTAAAAGTAATAGGACTGTTAGTAATAAACTTAAGCAAAAGATGGCGCTGTCTGTATAAAATATTGTTAAGATACTAAGTTTTATTCAAATGCATTTGGTGACATCAGCAATACATCTATAAAATATATGATGACTTACAAGAGGGCAATATATATAATTAGCTTTATTTTAACCACCCACTTCTGGGCGTGGGCCTTTAGTAAGAGGGGGATCAGGCCATAGTCCACCACACTGGCCAAGTGCGGGCGGACTGAATATTATACTTTCGGAAACCAGGGTTCTCTTAGACTTACAGGTTCCCTCAAGATGTTTTCCTTCATCGTAAGACTAGTGGTAATCATGTTGGAAATGATTCAAACATGAAAATATCAGTGGTGCGCGACCCGGGATTTGAACCTGTTTCACTCGGTTTCCCAAGCGAGCGCGTTACCACTGGGCGCGGAATACTTTGAGGATGCAAATGTGTAGGATTACTATAAGTTGATATTCAAGTAGGAACATAATGTTATATTGGAATATTGTAAATTATATTTAAAAAGAGCAAGTGTTGACTTCCTCTCGGGCTCTACTCGCCAGCACTGCCTTGTATACTCCGAGCCTGAGGTAGATACTTCACAGTCTTACATATGGATATTTAATTGTAATTTAAAATATAAAATTTACGATTTAAAAGTAATTATAAAAAAAGTGCAAATAAAGATACAGAAGATAGATACAAAAGTAAGGTACGTTAAAGCGAGCGAAGCGAGAGTAAGTTGAAGCGAGCGAAGCGAAGTACAAGCTAGTAGTTATAATAAACATATTACATACCATTATGAGATTGGCATACTGAACATATGAGCGCCATGCGATGGTCGGGACCGTCTTTGAGCAGAAAGTCGACCACTTTGTCTAAGGCAGAGCGGTTTCTATCCACCAACGGGCGCGGAAGTTGATCCGACTGGGAAATAAATTATTATTATTATTTAAAAAAAAACATGACTTTCGCCAACTGTAATGAATGGGATTCGCCATAACGAATTAAATGAGCTCAAACTTAAAGGTTTAGAAAAAAATTGACAACGTCAAAACAAAATTTATTGTGTGTTCAAAATTTATTTCAAAATAGGTATATCCAAAAGTTACGTTAAAACTTTGAGTAATACTATAAGAAAATGACTTATTCTAAAAGAAAACAATATCGCATGCATATTAATATATTACAAGACTTCCGCGATAAACAATAGCATTCCCAAGGAGGGTTGACGTCAGGCAGGCGGCCGGTCGTAAAACTTTTGCCAAATACGGAAGATGTACTGAGCCGACCCCAAGTGATTGGGAAATGGCAGGGAGACATCAAACTTAAAGGTCCTTCTTTACCTTAGGATCGAAATCGCCTGCACCGACAAGAATACCTACACTTACATATTTACAAATATCTATACTACTTAATATCATAAAGATACAGAGTTTGTTTGATTGAACGGACTAATCTCAGGAACTACTAATCAGATTTGAAAAATTCTTTTTGCATTAAATAGCCCGTTTATGGCGGAGCCAAATTGTATATTAAATGTCAACAAATAGGGTGGAATTCCATACATTATTGTAAAACTGATGTTTATATCAGAAGTTTGAACGCGGGCGAAGCCGCGGTAGTACTGCTAGTAACAATATAAATTGGAAAATCAGATTATAACGATGTTTGAGATATAAGCCTACTAATTAAAAATAACAAAGATTAGTATTATTTTGACAAGAAATAGTCTTGAAATTATCAAATTAAAAAAAAAAAGAAAGAAAGTATTTTAATGCGAGAAAAGCCGGTGATTAAAAGTTAACTCACCCGCAATCTTGGTCCTCTGTATACAGCCGAAGTCGGAGTATTGAAGGGGACTATGTTGAGATTATTATTCGATGTAGGTGTCGACGTTGCCAACCTCGGGCGATATTGTACTGGGGTTCCTACAACTATAAACAAACAGTTGTTATTTTTAGATATTCAAATTAATTGTTCGATCTTAAATTAAAATTTGTTAATTAAAACTGTTTATATATATCTGGTTTTGACATCTATCGGCACTCTGAGTGTTAGCGTTAACACCATGACCATGTCGATGACGACTTACATGAGTTTACTCCCCATCCAAACCTGCCTATAGAAGTTTTCCCTTCAAAAAACCTAACACAATAACCTATTCATTGAGGCAATTTCAAAGAACCTAAACACTATCTCACAGTATTTTAGTTACAAATTGAATATCTTGGAGATTCCAGGTGACGCTGCATCGAAGATATGTCAAAGTTGCTCATATTCTTTTACTGTCTAGAAAAGAACCGATAGCCTGCAAACAGGTGAACAAATTTTCTTGTTTTATAGCTAAGAATACTCTCGAACAAATCGCCTTTCAGACAAAAAAACACTAAATTATAATCGGTTCACCTGTTCGGGCAGTACGATTGGCCACATACACACACACAGATACAGTATAACTTACAACTGACAGACTAACAGACACACGTGTTAAACATTATTATTATATAATTTATAATATAGTATTAATTCAAAAGCAATGAAGCTTATAATAAAAAATATTTCACCTTTATTAAAATCACACGCACATTCCCTATTGTGTTCTATTTAACTGACTTAATTTTTCTTTTTTTTTGTATAACATGTAGTAAGCACTAGCCAACCTTATAAAATAAATAAAAATAAAAACTATAATATATATAGAAAATAACTGTTCTCGTCATGACAATTTTGTAAAAATTATGAAAAGGCCAGAATTTCTGAAAGAGACTAACAAGTTTTCAAAGTGAATATTTTACCAACTACTCATAGCAATTATACGTCGCCTTAGTGCTTATTTGTTCAAACTATCAATACTTGTTGTACTTTACAATAGGTTTTTTTTTAAAACAAACCTCAATTCGGTTTTATTTTATTGAAATGTGTAAATACACATTTTAATAAAATTATACCACTGGGGTTGACATTTAAGGGTTAATAATGCTATATTAAAAACTCTTTCCGTAAATTGGTCATTTAAGTCAACGTAAGACAGCTCTACAAAATGAAACAACGCGAACGAAGACGCGAAAAAAACAAAAGTCTATACATATAATAATATTGTAACTAAGCCGATCTGTACATTAAATATTTTTTGGAAAATCTTATGGGAATGAACATTATTATCGATACAGAGGCCGAATCTATAGTTTTTAGAATTATCGTCTGTCTGTCTGTTACCGCATCACAGAAAAACCACTGGAGGGATTTTGATGAAATTTCGTATAGTGATAGCTGGTTATCCAGGTCAACATATAGGATACTTTTTACCGCGGGAAAATGTCTCATTTCTGAGAAAAAGTACAAAAACTGCAATGTAAGAATATCAAGATCGTAAGAATAAATCCTAAGAATTTGGTTTTTGGTCATCTGAACGCTGGCGGAGCCGCGGGCAATGCTAGTTATTATATAAAACATTTGAAATAGGCGGTTAGTTTTACAGATCCGTTTATAGAAATTCTTACTCTAATCGAAAGCATGATAATCTCGGGGCGACACGTCAAATCCGTTGGAATATTAATGTACATTTTGTAGAAGGTCAACAACATTTTAGCACAAGAAGGCACTACTTCGGCGGACTCTATATATCTTTCAAAATAAGTTTTCTCAGACGCACTGGTTTCCACACGATGTGTTCTTCACCGTGAGGTAAGGAATAATTATTTTAAAAATAATTCTCATACGAATATCTAAGAGGAACGAGAACCGAAGGTTTGAAATTGCTTCTGTTGAGTTTTCCATGTGTTTTTTGAAGTTATACTTCTTTTGGGACGTTTGGAAAAACATAAGAGAGTAAAATTTTTACGATGTTGCCTGTTTGTTGCCACGGTAACCGTTGTTATTGTCTGACAAATGATAATAATATTATATTCTTTCCTTAAATAATATTCTTTAAATAAATGATTGTAATATGCCTAATATGCCTTATTTAATTAAATTGATCATTAATTTTACAAACAGATAATTGTGACATACGGGATAAAATCTTTAGCTATTTTTTTCTGTTACGCCAAAGAAGTTCTTACATGCGTACATAAGTACACACACACACATACACACGCGCGTTTTTAAAAAAAATACCATTTGACATATTTTGAGTACTATAATATAGACTAAATGCCTACCGAGTAGTTTTCTAGAGCTTTCTTACAAAAAATGGTACTTTTTATTGACCTACAAACACATAGACGAACAATAAAGTAATTCTACAAGCGCCATTTTTACCAGAATATCACGAAATGTAGTGTAAAAATATTTAAAAACCACCTAAATCTTTCATTTAATAAACAGGTTTCATTAGAACGTAATCAAATAAATTAGTCGTTTCCTTAATATGTGATTTCATTAAAAACGTTGATAAGATGTTGGTATGAATGTCTATTTATAGAATCGAAGCAAAACTCCGAGTTAATAAAAACGTATGTAGAGTTTTATATCTTTGGTTCGGGGAATCCCCTTATAAACTACGACGTCGTTAGTCTTCAGTCCTAACATAAATAATATTCTTGGGTAAATGTATTATTTTTGGATGATTTTTTGATTATTTAAAAGAAATAATCATAATAAATATATTTTAAAATTAATGGGGTATTAATATAATTAAATATTGTCACGGTAAATCCCCGTTTCTATATAAACAAAGTATTTAATCTGTGGTTAGGTTGATTTAATTTAGAATTTCAATTTAAAAAATCACATCAGCCGTTTAATTGAATGCAAACTGTAGGATGAGGTTTCGAAATAAACTACAAATAGTAGAAAGTCTTAGAAAAATGTATTCAAATTTACAATTTCATATACAAATAATTAATCTATACATTATCAGGCTTATATTTATTTAGACAATTTTAAAAATCTCGCCGATTTTACTTAAGACTTAATAATTTGATTGGAAAAAATTAAAAAAATACAGCCTTCTAATAATATTTATTTCTAGCACCTTTGTTAGTTTAAAAGTCATTGTAACATTATTATAATATATGTATTTTTAAATCTCATATCATTTTTTCACAATATTCATTTAATAATATATAAAACTTACTTAATGTTCTTTTAGAAGATTTATAAAATCTCAAATAAAAATAAAAAATTTAGCAATAAACCACAGATAATTAATCAACACGTAGGCATTTTCACAAAGAGTTTCTAATTCTATTTTAAAATATTCTATTAAATATGGCTTAATATTTTTGAAATAATATTTAATAAAAATTAATCTTTTTAATAAAAAAATAATATCATGCTTTAAATATATTTTTAGATTAAACATAACCTAATAAAATTCTGATTATAACCATTTTAATACCTTTATTTTTAACTAATCATGTGCGTTCTTTACTATAAAAAAAACTATGACTGAGAGGGCATTAACAGTAAAAAATTACATAACTATATGGTTTTTTTAAATAAAATAAAAAAAACCTTTCTGCAATATATATGTATATTTTATGATTAATTCAGGACATAATCAAATTCTAAAAGAAAGTGACACCCACGTACATGTATAATTTGTCGTAGATACGCCACATGTTAAACTCAATAGAACCAAAATAAGAAGAGAAAAAAGGGAGAGTTTATATGGCATTAATATCTTATATTAGAGCTAAAAAATTAAAAAAAAAGACAATTTATACGATTTGATAACCATCGTATTTGGATTTAAAAAAATATCTGAATAAGTTAAAACTACCTGGAAGTGGTTTCGGCGTCCCGGGAGCTGTTAGAGGGGAGAACGGTTTCATCGCTTTTGACTGCTCTTCTTGGCCTCCATATTTGTCTAAAATTTCTTTTGCAACCTGAAAAATATATAATTATAAGCCTTTTTTATAAGGATCTTATTAATCACACTCGTAACACTATAATAAAACTAGCTTGCTTCCCAATACAAACTTTCATCCCCATTTTTACACCCTTAATGGATGATTTCCGAAATAAAAGTATCCTATGTCCTTCCCAGGGTCTCAAACTATCTTCTTGCCAAATTTCATCTAAATCAGTTCAGTAGATCCAGAGTCAAGTCAACTCACAAAATCACAAACTCACAAGCTTTACCTCTTTATAATATTAGTATAGATGTTAGAAATCAAGCTTTAAAACTTCATTAGTATGTAAAATTTAAGACGTGACAGTAAAATAATTTGATAATATTGTGCTGATCTGATAATGAGCCAGGAGGTGGATAGTGAAAATCTTCGATTACTACCAGTGAAGCATCAGAGTTGCAGAATTTAGTCTTATTAGATACGTTTTGACGAGTCCCACACAGATACACATATATTTTTCTAAATTAACGACCGATATCAAAACAGCATAAGTGGGTACTAGTTATATAACGAATATTCGCATTCGCGGATATTAACATATTTTTTAAAATTCGCATTAGCATTCTTATTCACGAATTTTCGCATATTTTTTAAATTCGTATTCGCGAATATTCGCATAATATTTTTTAACATTCGCATTCGCACACGTATTCGCAAGAAACAATGCGAATGTTTGGTGAATGTGTTTGACAAACAAAAGGCAAATTATATGTACCTATATGGAAGAGATGAAGATTAGAATTAAAAAAACAGTCTTGAGGTAAGCAACTAAATTAAAAATACTTTCTCTTTTGTTTTTTTTTAGTTTAATTAAAATATTTAAAAAATCACAACTAAACAAAAAATAATAATAACCTTTGTTGCATTTTATAAAGTCCAAATTGTAAATTATAAATAATATCTTTTGAGAAAAAAGAACTTAAGACTTGTAATCAAATGAATAATAATATCGTCTGATAAGTGTTGTTACAATTATGTAAAGTTTATACTTATTTAGCAAATTATAACTACCATTTTTAAATAAAGCTTACAATTTCTTAATATTTAAACCAAATTTAAACATCTAATATCTAAAATGTTATATATAACCTTTGGCTTCATTCCATTATATATTTTATCATTCCACTATAATTTTTTTATTAAAAATTAAAGATCATGAAATATAAGTTTAATAAAACAAAAAATTGAATACTTAACTGAACTATTTGTAAATAAAATTAAGAATAAGTCAACATTCGCACTCGTATTCGTGAATATTGGAGATGAATATTCGCATTCGCAGATATTGGAGATGAATATTCGCATTCGCATTTGCATTCGCGGATGTGAAAAACACGAACATTCATTATCACTAGTGGGTACACATAGAAAAATACATTTTCAAAAGAGATGGCCGCATTATGTTCATAATTGACAGAGTTCGCAGTTTCCGTTCCCGGACAAAGCAAAATCAAATAATAGACAAAGCAAATATGCAACTTTCTGTTATAAATATATCTAGCACTTTATCAACTTTAAAATGTTAAACATCCTCTTGTCTTTTGCTTATACATGCGTCATGTGTGTATAATAATAATATTCAAATATTAGTAATTTTTCAAATATTTCTATACCTCGGACAGGAGTCGGATTTAATTACCCACCTACCTAAGCAACTAAAACTAAGTCCAATATTTATACTTAAAATAACGATAACTTTGAATATAATTTTAATAACGAAGCACTACATTTTTTACACATGGCAATTTTTTTTTTAATTTTTTTATATTTTATTTAAACTTCATCAATAACAAAAAAAAACAAAAACAAATCTATCCCACGGGAATTGTGCATTTGTCCGGGACAAAAATGGCCTATATGTTATTCTGATGTATGAGCTATATTATTGTAAAGTTTCATTAAAATCCATTCAGTAGTTTTTACGTGAAAGAGTAACAAACATCCATACCTTTAAACATTCAAACATCCGTACAATCTTTAGCATTTATAATATTAGTAGGATTAATAGGATTATACCATTAAGAATTTACAGCATTTGCTTAAATTTAAGTCTGAAAATCTAGACCAAGAATTAAATTTTAAACAACATTTGGCTAAATTAAAGAAAAAAAAATTAACGTCACGTTTAACTCACCTTATAAGTTTCTGTATTCATTACATCTTCTAGAATCTTCTTCTTCTCCTGTTTCATTTTGATTAACTTCACTCTATTCTTATTTAGTGTCCAATTGTAGTACCACGATATTGAGTAACGAAGTAATATTACGCTAAAATAATAAATAAAAATTAAGTTTTATGAATACACTAGCGACTCACCCTCGCTCGGTTGATTCCCTATACAAAATTTCATCCCCATTTTCCTCCCTCTTAAGGGTAGATTTCCGGTATAAAAACTCGGTCCAGTAGTTTCGGAGCCTATTCAATACAAACAAAAAAGCAAAAAATCAAATCTTTCCTGTTTATAATATTAGTATAGATGATATCCCGGCCGTTTGCACATACTTTCCTATATAAATCCGCCGTGGAGATAACGGTCGTATCGTAATACCACAGACGACATATTCGTAATATTATATATATATATATATATATATATATATATATATATATATATATGTAATATTACGAATATAATAAATATAAAAGGATAATATAATATATCATACAAAAAATGGATTATCTCAATTCTATAAGAGGCTATTTTATGAGAACGTCTGTTTCATCAAAATACCCCTTATTTTAGTACAAAATACTATCGAGTGAACTTTATAAAATTGTGAAAAAAATAAACAAAACAAATGGTAGTAATAACAATTTTGATCGATTTGAGACATGAATATAGAACCTCCTCCTTTCTGGAAGTCGGTTAATAAATGATTCAGGAAATGTAAATAGCGCCATCTATGAATACGGAATACAAACTAATAAGCTACCACTAACTAAACAAATACAAATATTTGAAAACGACCATTTCATTTTGGCGAACTTAATTTGTAAAACGAAATAATTTTATAATCTACAAAATATGTATAAAAAAAATTGGCGATCTATTATTCCACGTAGGTAATTCCCCTGGAATTAATTATTATCTATATTGAAATTCCGAAAAAGCATGAGCAATACAAGAGCGAGTAGCTAGTTACGAAAAAACAATGAACGAGCAACACAATATGTTCATTACACACTAGTGTGTTATGAATACGTCTATACTGTATACATTTTTCTTTCAATGACTAAGTAGTCAATGAAACATTTATTTATATCTAAGAAAAATAACCTCATTGTTATTTGTTTTAGATATATATGAAAATACGTAAGAAATTTTATAAATGGCGACAATTTGTGTTGCCATCATTTCCTGTTCTAAATCTATACTAATATTATAAAGAGACAGTTTGTTTGTTTGTTTGAACGCGCTAATCTCGGGAAGTTTGAAAGCGGGCGAAGGCGTGTGTGTAGTGCTAGTGCAATTATAATATTATAGGTAAAAGCACTGAAATAATGTTAATTAACACTGAGATGAGCAAAACTTGGCTTAAAAATCAACGAGACTCTGGAGATATTAAATCAAAGAAAAAGTCTATAAAAACTATAAGTAATTTTCGCAACTGCTTTCTCTAGATTAAGTATCTATGCCAAGTGTGCATAATTATTATCCTTAACAATTGTTTCAAACGGGCATCAAACCCGCGACATTTAGAATTGAGAAAATGTTACATAACCAATACGAGATACCGCAAAAATAATTGCATTATTAAGAACAATAAACACCTTATCATATTCTTTCTTATTATTCTTTCTTTATTTCATATTCCCTCGAATATAAATTTTACATAGCTTTGAATAAGTTTAAACAAACATAACTATCAATTAGAAAAGATGTTAATCTAAAATAGTTGAAGAGTAGCAATATAAAACCCTTTAAGCCCCCTATTTTACGAATTTCATAGGATAGAAAAGCCATGGGACAAAACATCATGAGATTTCTTCCCCATACAAACCCATAAAGCTAGAAAGTTTTCACATACTCACAGAACAGGTATGAATAACAACGGCGAGGCGTATAACAGTGAGTGGAGCCAGTATTGACTTCTACCCACATACATATAATAATAGAGCACGGCGAACAAAACGTATAGACCGACTGAATACGCCATTACATAGCCAATAACACGTTTGTGCGCTTGTTCTTTATACTGGCCATCTTCTTCGATACATTTAATCTTCGTTTCTAAATTTTCTAATATTTCTATTGTTGTTTTCTTACGCTGAAACAAAAATAATTCATAATTTATTAAATTATTTATCCATACATATAATAAAATTCTGAGTCGAATCTGTACATTAAATATTTTTTGGAAAATATTAGTAATATAGCCATTATTATAGATACACAGGCCGAATTTATAGTTTTAAGAATTTTTGTCTGTCTGTCTGGGAACGCATCAGGAGAAAACCACTAGACAGATTTTGATGAAATTTGGTATGATTTTGATGATACTTCGTTATCCGGGTCAACACATATAGGACACTTTTTACTGCGGGAAAATATCTCATTTCTGAGAAATCTATACTAAACGTTAACTATAAAATAGTAGTTTTGCGAACAGGAGACAAACTGCATTTAGTGAAGCTATTCTGCTCATCACGCCGAAGATCTCTTCAGATCTTCACCAATTTTTTATGAGACCAACTAAAGTTACTAGCTTTCAAATAAAAAAAGAACCATTGAAATTGGATCTCATAAGGCGGAGATATCGTCAAAACAAAATTTATTGTATGGTCAAAATTTATTTAAAAATATATCCGAAAATTATATTAAAAGTTTGAGTAATAGCATAAAAAATGTTTTAAAAGAAAACAAAATCGAATATGCATATTACAAGTTTTCTGCGATAAACAATAGCATTCCCAAGGAGGGTTGACGTCAGGCAGGCGGCCGGTAGTAAAACATTTGTCAAATCCTATGAGCAGTACAGAAGCCCCAAAGTGATTGGGAAATGGGCAGGGAAAAGAATAAGAAGGCGTAGAGATTCAGTAAACCCCTTTCTGGCCCTTTTTGAATGAAGTACCCTCCATTCAAAAACCCCGACGACAAAAAACCTATATATGTATATAGTCGTAAAACCTATACTTATATCAAGTTTCGTCCAGATCGGTTCTAAAATACAACCTGTAGAAGAGTACCAACAAATTGACCGAGTAAAGCAAATTTTGCCAGATTTGAACTGATTTGAGACGCTTCGTTCCCTCAGTCAATTAATTTGAATTAATAATACCTACGGATATTAAATATGCGATTAATTGCGATGAGTTTGAAAGTGTATGTTTATTACCTCCTTTATAATAAACATTAAATAGAAAAAATAAAAATCATTATTTGTTTTTTTTTTTAAATCAAAAAAATCGGTCAGGAACAAAAAAAAATATGATTTTTATCAACCCTCATGTAAACTGTGAGAACTAAAGATAGATTAAGGATTATCTGTATCAAGTAACACTCTAGTCGTATAACTAAAACCGCAACACATAAACAATAACTAATGTATTGAAATTATTTACACTACTAGCAGAACCTGCGGCTTCGCTCGCGCTAAAATTACAAAAAAATCTCTAAAAGATTAGTTTTATACAAACTTTCATCCCCTATTTTACCCCCTTATAGGATGAATTTCGAAATATGCTAAAACACGTATTTTTTTAATTTTATTTAAAGCATTAATACCAACTTTCAAGTAATTCTGATCATCATTATTTTTTTTTTGGATTGTATTATAACGTGTTTTCCCGTGGGAATTAGATAATATCCCGCGGTAAAAAGTAGCTTATGTCACTCTCCAGCCCTTCAACATCCCCACACAAAAAATTACGCCGATCCGTCTCTCCGTTTTGACGTGAAAGAAGGACAAACAAACAAACAAAAAAACAAACAAACACACTCACATTTATAATATTAATATAGATAGTATAACTTCTTAGGTTTCGGGGCACGTTCTGCCCTAATACCGTCTAGACTTGAGACTATAGTGACATTTTAATTAATTATTTCGACATCCCTACTAATATTATGGAATGTGAAAGTGTGTTTGTTTGTTTGTCCTTCTTTCACCTCGAAACAGTGTGACGGATTTGCGTGATTTTTTGTTTGGAGACAGTTGGATGGCTGTAGAGTGACATAGGCTATTTTTTACCGTGGGAGATTATCTCATTCCCAAGGGAAAACGCGTTATAATACAACCCACAACCACTTACCATACCTATGTATTGTATGTATTCCATACAAACCGTTAATATCTACGTATCTAAGGGATGAATCCGAGCGAAGCGAGAGCGAGTCGCTAGTTATAAATATATTTAGCACTTATTATTATTAACTTGAATTTATTAAGTTTAACTAATTCTAATTCACGCCAATCGATACGAATCGATTTTAACCTTTGATATGTGAATGTGTAATTGGAAATTAAAACAGCACCTTCTTATCCAAGTTAATCACAATTATCTTAGTTTCTATTATTACGTACTATACTATATAGACTAGCATTGCCCGCGGCTTCGCCCGCGTGCAGATGACTAAAAACCAAATTCTTAGGTTTTACATATTGGTAATTGTTATACTCTTAGATTGCAGTTTTTGTATTTTTTCTCAGAAATGAGACATTTTCCCGCGATAAAAAGTATCTTATATGTTGAACCGGATAACCAGCTATCACCATACCAAATTTCATCAAAATCCCTTCAGTGGTTTTTCTGTGATGCGGTAACAGACAGACAGACAGACACACAAGAAATCTAAAAACTATAGATTCGGCCTCTGTATTGATGATAATGTCTATTTCGATAAGATATTCCAAAAAATATTTAATGTACAGACTCGGCTTAGTTACAATTTTATTATATGTATAGATATTTAGAATATTAAATTGATAGACGATTATAGACAATCTTTAGGAGTAGTAATATTGTACATCGGTAATAGTTATTACATATTAAGGTACAAGTAACAAGTTCAATTCTTGTCTAGAACAAATGTTTGCCAAATTAATAAATAATTTCATATTCGTATAGAAAATTCCAGCTTTCTTTTGAAAGAATATTGCATGGCACTGGCATGTTTTCGTGATTCTTCTTCTGCCAATCGGCTTAACCGATTTTAATAAAATTTTAGGCATACTTATAGGATCAATTGCATGGTTTTAGTCTAACTTGTGTAGTTAGGTTAGGATAGGTGTTGTCAAGATACAATTAACTAAACAAGATCTTTCAGCGTTTGCCTACTGGGTCCGCCAGGGCTCAAAGTGCCAAATATCATTGACCGAATACAAAAGTGGAGGATACTTACACAACTCATGTGTATGGGTTTTTTGAAGTTATACTTCTTTTGACACGTTTAAAAAAATATAAGTGTAAAATTTTTACAATGCGCGCACCCCAACAGCCAAAAAGCGACATGATGAAGTTAGCTGCATTCCTTTTACAAACAGAGAGTTGTGACATACGGGATGAAATCTTTAGCTATTTTTGTTCTGTTACGCCAAAGAAGTATAACTTCTTACGTGCGTACATGAGTACACAAACACACTTTTTTTGTGAATATAATATCTTATGCCCTTGAGGTTTATCTATTTCATATTTGGATTTATACAATAATAATTAAAAATAAATAAATAATAATAAAAAATAGGACAATAAAAACTTTAAATAGAATATCCCATTTTTTAAATTAATTATTATAATTTATTTACTATACTTTAAAAAAAAAAGAAAGATTATTTTTTTTATATACATAAAAAAGTATTGGCAAAGATATCGCATATCAAACAAACGTATTTCTTATTAAAGTCGGTCAAAAAATATCCGAAACATTGTATAGCTCAATATTTTTCTGAAATGAAAGTAGTTGTTAGAGCGTGACCGCTCGCTGGTGGCTCTTAATACCAGCTTATACGGTTCATATTTCTGTGGTCTGCGGTGTTTCACTTTCAAATACAGTATGGTCGGGTTTCAAAAGTTTGAAAGTAAACGTCTAGAGTGGCTTTTGAATGCTGCACCAATTGTAGACTTTAGAAGAATCATAATATATAACTTCAATTTTATATTTTCGACCGATTTAAAAAAAAAAAAATCAAAGAAATTGTTAATTCCAACACGAATTTAATATGTAATTGAATATTGGCAGTCGAAAAGACTATTGTACGTAAATTTTATGCCTTTCAGTTTAGACCTTATATGTTTCGACTATTCCATATAAGAAATATTAAAGAAAAAAAAACTATTAAATAAAATTGCTGTAATAAATATTTAATGAACATAGAAATAATTGATTCGCCGGATAAATTTTCACTTCCCGAAGATTAAGGGAAGATTACGGGATAAAAACTATCCTATTTCTTGGGGCGGAGAAACCATAACCCTGATGGAGGAGGTTTTATTAGCCTCTCCGTCAAAGGTATCTAACCTGAGGGCTGAAGGGACCAATAAGAGACTCCGAAGGCTCCTGGCGGCTAATGTGAGGTTCGACGAAGCCCGCGCATTAGCCGTTAGGCCTTGGAAGGATATTCCGATCAAAAATATTCCGCCTGACCCGAAGGCCAAGAAAAGGCCTAGGTCGGAGGAAGAATCGCCGGGGATGCAAATCAAAAAGGCTCCCCGTGCGGAGGGAAAGGTAGCACAACCCAGCTTCAGTAAGGTTGTGGAGCAATCTCGCGTGGGAATTAAAAATCAAGTTCCCATGAGCGGAGATCAAATGAAGTTGGTGCACCGATCCCTGACCCTTGCGATGCTCAAGATCACTGACAAGGGTGAGGGACCCAGATTCACCGGCTTTACCCACAGGCCGGGGTATATAGTGATCACCTGTGAGGACCAGGATAGTCTCAAATGGCTGTCCGAGAAGGTCCCCACCCTAAAGCCCTGGAGCGAGGCGGTGCTCTCAATTATCCCTGAGAGCGAACTACCGAAGCCTGCAGTAGGGACTATATTTATCCCTAACTCTGAGGCGGAGTCGCTAGACGAGGCCACCCAGTTGTTAGGGATACAGAATAGAGGGCTCAACACGGAGCTCTGGAGAGTAGCGCACAGTAGGGCCGAGGGAAATGGACACATTGTGTCCTTCTTCCTAGACGACGCTTCTGTCGCAGCTCTCCGGGCTATGAACCTTGAGGTCGTTCTTGGTTTTAAGAAATTACTTTTTAAAATCAAGAGCGACCCAATGGCTGGCCCCACATGCCCAGAACCTGCTGAACGGATTCTGGAACCTCAGGCACCC